TTTTCTCTGCTCCTCCCCGAGGGACAAGCCCTGCGGGCAGCCCCACCCCAGGACCAGGGAGCTGCCGGAGCAGCACAGGAGGAGTGTGTGCAAACGTGGGCTGTGCAGGTGAGCGAGCTGCGGCGGGGCCTGCACAGTGCGGCAGGCTCATTGAAAACACATGCAGCCTTGTCGAAGGAATGTCCAAAGTCCTCAGGCAGACTCCGGCCTGGGGTCAGCCTCCCCCACCTCTGTGAGGACCTAAAGTTAAAAAAAAAATGCTCTTTAAGCTCAAGAAGGGGCAAACAGTTTGTTTTAAACTCACTGTTTCTAACTTGTTGAGTTAAAAAAACCACAAACAAAAGCAGACATTACGACCGGGTGGTCCGGAGTGCAGACCCCAGGGGCCAGGGCTGGTCTCTTTTCGCCTTCATTGTCTTATTCAGGCTGCCGAACTGGTATAGTGGGTGGGCTTGTGAAAGCGAATATATAATGAGAATGAGCAGCTATCTGTTCTGTTAATTTGGGAAAAATTACACTCCTGATTATCCATTTGGATAATTAACTATGGTGTTACGTTCACTGAGAGTGAACTTCAAAAAATCAACACTAAACAAAACCATCCAAACTAAAGGTGGTGGATCTTAGGTGTCCAGACCCTCAGGCCCCGTGTCCCCATTCACCGGGCGTGGCCTGACGGGGCAGCGCCAGTTTGCCTGGAAATGGCCGGGAACTCCAGTGTGGTGCTGGGACTGGAGGGGGCCTCAAACTGGGTAGAACTGACAAAACGCACAAGCTACACTCAGTTTGTTTTTATAAATGATTACTCCTTACAAGAGAGGGTTTTTCACCTTAAAATAGCCAGTGTCCTACCTTACAGGAACCCACTGGTCCACCACAGAGCTCGACCTTCACGGGACCCCCCGGGAGACAGGGCAGTCCCAGTGCATTGTGGGGGCCGAGCTCCCCGGGAGAGCACGGTCAGGGAGCGTGTGTCTGCATTTGCGAGTTCAAGTTCGCAACAGAACTGCAAAGGTTCTTCCCCAGGGCCCCTCAGCACCAACCACGCTCATGAGAGATGCGGGCAGGCAAGACCACCCACGTCTGCTTCCCCAGGTGCACCTGGGCCTTGCCTGGCAGCCTGCGGGCAGGAAAGTGAGCTGGGGGGGAGGGGGGTGTCTCTCACCTGGGAGGGGACGGCTCTGAGAGGCAGGGGCCGTGGTGGGTGTTGGAGAAGATGGACGCGATAGGGCGTCCTTCCAACAGCAGCGGACCGGGAGGGGCTGGTGTGGGAAGAGGCTCAGGGGTCGTGTTGTGCAAAGTGACAGAAGGTCACCTGTGCAGGAGGAGCCCGCGGAGACGGGAAGCAATAGTGCCTTCCTGCCCACCATCTTTAAACTAGTCCTGAAGGGAAACACTACAAGCTGTGGAAGCCCATCCCAGATACTTTTGGACTAAAACTAAGGTTTAAAAATTCCCACTATTGAAAACAGCTTCCCCTCACATTTGTGAATTGGGCAATTTGACCACCACAGAGACCTCTTGAGTAAGAGGAGGACTGTGCAACCCCTCAGGACCACCTAACAGACAATAAGTCACTTTTTGGGAAACTTATTTTTATGAGGAAAAAAATGCATGAACAGTGAAATGCAAATTCCTATTTGTTTAGCTATGTTTCAAGCTTCTCCTGAACATATGAGGCATATCAATACTACACAATTATTTAAAAGGTAACATCAAAAAATTTACTGTTGCCACTTTAACATACGGAAGTCTGAGGAATGACAATTACCAGCCTTTATAATCCAGTACACAAGGTGATCTAAGACACGCAGAGCCCAATACATTAAAAAGAATAGCCATGTATATATAAGTGGTGAGCAGCAAAAAAAAAAAAAAGTAATCTAACGCATTAAGATAAATGATTAAGAAATTGAAAGCTTTGAAAAAAATTGCTTTTAACAAAAATTGCATTTCTCATTTCATCTGGCATGATGAGGAGTCTGAACTACCATTTCCTGGTTAAATGAAAGAAAAACCTGGAAAACCAACGAAATCCTTTATAAATATGGAGACGGGATGTAAACACAGATTTAAAGAGACAGCAGGAATGTCCGTTCTCTCTGGGCCATGATTTCATTTAGTCTCCTTTGGTAATTCGGATGAAGACTCCAATTTATCATGGTTTCTGGACTGATCTCTTCCTCAAATACTTTCTAAGTGTGGACACCTGCCTAACGCCTTGGTCAGAAGCAGCATCGCTAAGAAAGGTACAACACAGAGCAAAAAGCGCCGCCTCAGGCCCAGGAAGTGAATGAAGCCACATGTGATATCACAGACACAGGTTCCCATTTTCACGTCCATCGCTTAGTAACAGCACATGTGACACGTTAGCTTTGCCCGATCACACAGTACAGTGAGCTTGTCGTACCCACGGTTTATCGCCGAAGCTGGCCGGGCACCATCAGGGCCTGGCATCCCCGGGTCCGCGGAGTCACACTCACACAGAAGCACTGAAAACTGTTGCTGACTCATTTACAAAGTCCGAGTGCCGTCTTGCACCAAAGCTGTGATGCCAGCCCGGCCCTCAGCTCAGAGCAGTCACCTCCCACAGCTCACTGCACTGCGCCTGCGGGCTCTGTGGTTTCTAAGAAAGTGTGGGACATGGCCCCATGGCAGTGGCTCTGCCTGCGACCTGCGGGTCCCCTTGCTGTGCCCGTCCTGGCTCTTGGAGCTTTTGGCCAGATCTCTTCTCCAACACCTGTCCGAGTCACATGGGTAATAAAACTACTTAAAATACCACTGCTGTACAGCTAAAGAAATTATGGATTTGATTTAAAGTCTGAATTTATTCATTAGAAAAATTAAATGAGGGCAACTTGAGAAGGTTTTCCTACAGTTATCAAGTGAAAGCTATTGGAGAATTGTTTCGGTCCTGCTTCTATGATGATAGTCTTCACACTAGTAAAATAAACATTCAAAACACTAAATAGGATAATAGGATGTATCCTAATTAATTAAGCACCAGAACATATATATGAGATATATCTATATCTATATCTATATCTAGATCTATATCTATATATCTATATCTACAAATAGATATAGATATATCATATATATATATATATATATAGTTTGTTACTGGTTAAAGTTAGTAAATGCTCCAATTAAAAAAATGAAAATCCACTATGAGAAACAGAGGTTGTGTTTTATTTCTTTGTGTTGACTACCTATTGCTAATTAGCTCTCAATTCAAATGAACTCTTGGATTTTGAGAGCAAATAAATCAGTAATTTGCTTTTTCCCCATGAAGGAGAGCAGCAACTTCCAGAGTGCGCAGGCAGGGGAAAAATGCACGTGGAAACACCTACAACATGGACCCAAACATTTCACATAAAACAGGCGACACTTTCCTGCTCACTGTATCCGAGAAAGAGTCAAAGCAGCTGGAAAAAATTCTTTTAAATGTAACAAATATTGGAACAAAGACAAAGATCCTATTTTTAAGCAAGATAAGTTTATAATTCTGATTTAGGAGATGAAAAGGTTTTCCTAAAAATTATTTTTATCTTTTTGTATAATTTTACATAACCTAAGTTACTGTAATGCAATGCCTAATATGGATGCCAAAGTTGAATTTTAAAGATACAGCAATTTTTTTTCGAGAATTACCTTTCATATGTTTAAACTGTAGCATTTAAATATGAAAACCTTTTTGAGAGAAGTCATGGCTTTTGTCCAATTCAAAGACTGTAGCACAGATTTTGCAACAAATACAGTAAAAGTGATGGGATTTATGAAATACTGAACTGTAAGGTGTAAACAGTGATGACACACCAGTGACGAGCCCTCCCAGGTGCCAGGGGCCTCTGGACAGCCACCTCCGACGCTGGCCTGGCCCACGGGGCTCCTTTTAGAGTGAAAAGTGAGCAAGTCCCACAGTTGGCCTCATGACCTCCAAAGAGATGGTTAAACTCAAACCAGGCTGGTCTCTCGACCTGAGTAACTGCCGACACCGAGCTCTGTAAAGTGAAGGGGAGAGAATCCGGTAGACCCCCTGCTCCCCCAGTGACCGCTCATCACGCTGCCTCCCCGGGAGCCGCGGAGTGGCCCTGCGGGAAGTGGCCCAGGCACCCTCAGTCAGGAATGTCGGTTTTCTCTGGGCCATGATTTCATTTAGTCTCCTTTGGTAACTAAGGAGAACTAAATGTTCTTCTTTCCTGTTTCACCATCTCAAATTTTTACATATTTCCCATCACAAACCACTGAAAACGACCATTTATGGTTATTCCACTGATTCCTGCGAGAGCTAGGTGATTTTGACCAAGAGCTCCAAGTACCATTTGAAAAGTCTGAGTCTTTAAAAACCTTCAATGTTTTAAATACTTCATCAGAAAAACGATAATGACGACTAGTAAGTACCTAGCTTATGTGCTTTGTGGTGATTTCTTTCAAAATGAGAGTATAAATCATTGTACATAAAATCAAAATAGTTAATATACATTTTTTCTGACACTTTCTAGAAATTAGGCATTAAACATAAGACATCTTATAAATTTAGATAACAAAAATAAATGTTTACATTTTAATCTCAGCTAGATTACCTCAGGGTGGCCGTTAACGTGAGGGCCCGGTGCAGCTGGTGTGGCCGCACAGATGCTCAGAGACCCACGGTCAAGTCCACAGCCCTGCCAGGCGGCGTCACGGCATCCAGCTGTGTGCTGGAGGATTGGGCTCCGGGCTCCAGCAAGTATGGAAGTACCACAGCACTCACCACAAATACTGCAAAGGTTCTGAAGTTT